AATCCTTTGAAGAACCTCTTGCCACTCTGCAAGGGTGTAGCCTAGAAGGGAATGTTTTAGGGATAGCGGATCCTGGCCTTTTGCAAGGGCCTTGTGCTCTCTGGAGTGAGTTATCCACACAGATTGTCTGCCACTGCGGACAAAACCTGGAGCAAAATTACTGGAGGTTGTGCTTTGGGTAGTCAGTGTTTAATTTTTTTCTTATTATTTTCAAGATTTTTTTTTGTCTTTAATTCCACCTACAGCTAATAATAATGAATTATGGCAAGGCACATGGCATTTTTTGCCTTTTCGTTTGAAGTTCTCAGAGTTAATGTTCCCTCTGTCTCCGCTTGTATCATTTGTCCCCTGATGGAGGTAGGGAAGTTGGCTCTAGAAGAGTATGAGAAAACTGCAGCATCGTCTGTGTTTAAAATAGGCCAAACCCGTTCATTGTTTGTGCTCCATGCACCCAGCTGGGGTATGCCTGCTCTGAAATGGGGTCAGTCTGCACTGAATGCCCATGGAGCCATCAATTAGGGGTTCCATGCCACCCTGGCTAGGATCATGCTCAGGTCACTGGCATTTCAATCAGCATTTCATAACTAATTGCCTGGCCACAGCTATCTTGTTATCAATTAACATAGCCCCGAATGTCAGGAAGTAACTGTATCTCTCTAACTCCCTAAGGCTGGCTTGTGGGTCTGTGAAATGGCTGGATTTCCTCACAGGGATGGATTACATGTTTACATCTTCCCTGCTGCCCGGCATGTGTAGTGAGGATGACCCAAGTAACCAACAAGAATGTCTTCGTGTTCCCCTCTTTCTCTTCCTTGTCTCATGTATGTTATACAGGAGGGAAAATAACCCCCTTGAATGTGAGCTCTTGGAGCAGGCTGGAAGATACATTGCAGACACTGTACTGCCTGAATCCAAGAAATTAGAGGGAAAAAATATGCAACAGCATTTGGGAACCTTTTGAGAATGGACACTTTTCCAGACTTCAGGGAATGCCTGTAAGTGGATGGGATAATTTCAATGATCCTCTTGGTCCAGAGAGCACTGCTGTCTCAAGCTGGAGAATATCTCTGTCATCAGCAGACAGCCTCTTACCAAACCTGCTCCTCTATGTCCAGCTTTTAACATCTGATAGTCTGGAACACGAGACTTTCCAGATTAGGATAAATTTGACCAGCTTGCAAAACTAAGCCTCTCCTTTTCTGAGGCCAGTGAGGCTACAGCGTGGAGGGTGGCATTTTATCTCTCTTAGTGGCTGAGAGAAAAGAAGTCATTGCAGCTCTGGTGTGCTGAACAGGCCATGGGGAAGATCAAGTGAGCAGAGGGCTCTGTGGCATGGCCTTGCAGGTCATCACAGGCGTGGTCTTTCTGTGTGTGCAATAAGGTGGACCTACCCTTAGGTGGCTGCTCATTTGCTCACTTGGGCTATGGAGAGGCAGAGCTTCTTTAAGGAAGTTTTCTGTCTTAAATACTTAAAACCCAGAGCAGCTGAGAAGGGACAGTGCAGATGGTGCTAATTTCCAGAGGCCATATGTTTGGAGGGACCTTGGGTACCCCTACAAGAATTCTTTGTTTTCTCAATGTTCCGTTTCAAAGGTACTCTGGAGGTCTCCTCTTTGCAGGAGACCACTGCTTCCTCCCACTCGTCCACTCCTGACACGTTTTCCCCGTCCCCTCCTCCATCCCCTGCTGCTCCACAGGCCTCACAGCTGGATAAACAGCGCTTGCAGTCACTTACAGCCCTCCAGTGCCTTCCAGCGAGGCACAGGCACGGAGAGATGCTTCCTGAGCAGCCCGTCGTGGGTGGATGGTTGTGCTGCAGCCCTCGTGCCAGCACTGGCATCGCTCCGCTCCCAGCAAGATCAGGTTCAAAACACACAGGATCTGGAGGTGCTAATTACAAGTGTGGGTTCTCTGGCCGTGCAAGGCTGAGGAATTTGGTGATCTGGAAGCTCTGGGTCTGTCTGCTGGCTGGGCTTCGCTGTGGAATGGGCTTGAAAATGTTCAGAGTAGCTTTTATTGCTTCTCTGTTGACTCATCCTTTCCCTGTTGGCTGTTTATAGGGAAAGGGGATCTAGCTCATCTCCTATGCAGCATCGCCTCTGTCTCACCCCAAAAGAGCCTGCTGTAAGGAGAGGAGGAACCTCCAATAGGTGTGATTTGTGCTTGTGGCTGTCAAGATTGTTGGCTCCTGGTTGTTTCTGGAGCTCTTTGGAGTTCCCCACCAAGACCTGGCCCGTGTGGAGACAAGGAGACCTAGTTCCACATGGTTGCCCCGAACTGGCTGGGCCTGCAAGGGACATGATACAGGGGCTACATGCAGTGGTGGTGTGGTGACTCTGTTGCAATTCAGATGGCTTTTGTAAAGGGTCCCATGCAGCCTGGTCAACTTGTGGGTTTGTTCCCTTGGCTTGCAGGGCTGTCAGCATCTCTGCCCAGGCCCGAGCAGCTCTGCCAGAGCAGATCTCCCAGAGCTTTGGCCAGGGCCGAGCTCACTGCACTGCTGGTGGATGGAGCTGTTGAGAGTAGAGGCTCAGGTATCTCTGTCCTCTTTTATTCACTTATTCCTCTAATGTGCATTAATTTACTTCTTGTATTAAGGACTGAGCCACTTGAGAAGCTCTACTCCACCTTGTCATTTATCACTGTGACAGAATATGACCAAAGCATTTTGCTGAAGCTTTATTTTGCTTCGTAAAATCACCTATGCTTTGCAACAGCTTATCCAGCAGCACCTCCTCCCTTCCTGCTGTCTTTAGAACGTCTTTCCTCCTCCTCCTCCTCCTCCTCCTCCTCCTTCTCCTTCTCCTCCTCCAGCCCATGCAAGATGATGTTGCTTTTGGAAATGACTCTGTCTGAGGGCTTTGCTTTCTCCTGGGTCACACGGATGATCCCGGAATTTGAAGCCCAGTCCCTGGATGGTGTCTCCCGATTGACTTATTGCAGCCAAGACTGTGTCCCTGCAGCTCACTGATGAGTGTTTACACAAAACTGTGCAGTCCCCTTCACATAACCATTAATTTTATAGGGGGCACATAACAGAGATGGGCCTCCACTATTCCTCCTGCCTTTGATCTGTGTGGGGTGTGTGGCCCAGAGCTGCCGGCATTGCTGATTTACTCTGCTCTGTGGATGGGGCTTCTGGAGCAAACAAGAGCTTAAGTTTGCTCTCAGTGGTATGGAAATACCATTACAAGATGTGCTGCTGGCTGGTTGTGTTTGGGCTGGAAGGGCAGGTATGGCTCAGGGTTTGCATGTCCTTAAGTTTTTGTTTTAATATTAGCTCACCAGTTCGGTTCATGCAATCCAGGAGTGCCCAAGTCCATGCAGACAGTTAGGTGGGTTATTAAGGGTCTGAAGTGTTGTTAATGGAAATAAAGTCCATGTATTGGCAAGCTATAAGCATTGACCTTGTGTCAGGGCACTTAGTCTGAAACAAGATCTCTCCAAACAATTCTCTCACAGAACTTTACTGTGATCCAAGCCAGATTCAGAAAACTCTCTCTCTTTTTTTTTTTTATTCTTTCTTTTCTCCCAGTCTGGCATAAATTAGGATTCCAGCATCAGTCTGACCTTGCTCTCTTAGATGAGCTGTCTGATCAGAAGCCTTTTTGTTGTTTAGACTTGGTGTACCAAGTAGGACAGTGGGCTCAGCATCAGCACAGGTGGTGGGTGCTTGCAAGGTCAACCAAATGTGGATCGCCCCTGAGCTCCTGTCCTAAATTTGATTTGAGTTGTTGAGCCTTCCAGCTGTGAGTGTTGACTTCAGCTCTGTCAGCCATCATGAATGTGGTTATTATTATTTGTATTTTAATCAAAAGTTACTTTTTAGAGCTAACCTCTTCTGATCAACCACAATGAAGCCGTGTCTAACAGTGGCATTTGACAGGGCAGTTTCAGGTCACCAAACCTGATATGAGAGAGTCATGCTAAGTGAGAGATTTCCAATGTGGAAAATGTTTGTTCATCCAAAGTCTCCAGTTTCTTTTGTGGACTTTCAGGATGACGACGTGTTCCGCAGGTGCTCACTGTGACATCCGCCTCCTGTGCAAGGAGGAGTTTGCTGCCTGTTGTCTGTCAGCTCTTCTGTTATACTGCTTAGCCTTTGCTTCTTGGCACTCTGTGTGAAGAAAAAAAAAAAGAAAACAGAATGTCTATAAAGTATGGAAAATGTAGAAACCCCTGACAGTTGTATGGTGTGTCTTGCTTCTCCCACAGAGAGGAAACCACAAAATAGTGAGTCCAGGGGTTTCTTTCCACACACACAATATCTGTCAGGATTTTGAGGAATTTTCTGGGAACTGATGAAAGAAATGTGCTGTTTAAGCCCTGATATATATTGTACAACCATTCTGTATGTGGGAGATGCAGTGCTCCACACTGGCAGGTTCCAAAAAAGATTTCCAAAACAAAAGAAATCCAAAGAATTTGAGGGAATTTCTTCTGAGGGCAGGTTGACTTCTCTGGGATCACAGGCAGAAGAAAAGGGAAAATGTGTTTGTATTAAAGAGAAAAAATACCTGATATTTTTAATAGCTGTAGTTTCCTCGTTAGCCATTTCACACCTTCACAAGATTACTGATTCTGGTGGGAAATGGGTAGGAATTTTAGCAGCAAAGGGGCTCTTGTGTCCTCAATTTCAACTTTCTCAGCCTCCAGGCAGGGGCAGGATGTGAAGAGGAGTCACATAAATAACAAGTTCCCCACTCTCATGTGTGCTGGAGGACCAAAACTGGGTTTGACAGTGTCGAGAGCCTGATTTGCATGGCCTTCCCAACACAGGTCTCTGACAGAGACTGCCCTGCACTCACGGTGGTTATTAGCAGCTGCTAGTTTTGGGGATACACTATTAACAAGCAGGGAGCTGGTGAAAGTGCATCAGCAAGTGGGAGCAGCCTGAGGATTAAGCCCAAAAGATGGTGTAATGTTTTTTTCTAGCTCTTCTTGTTAGGATTTATTGCACTTAAAAATTAATTACTGTTTATTTTCCTTCTCTCTTCCAGGTCCGCCTGTAAGTACCAAACCTCTATGGTTTTAGAAGCTGTTGACATGGAATCCGTGGGGCATGAACTTGCAGCCTCCTGTCTGTGGTGTCTGGTGTGGTAGCCACCTTTGCAGTCCTGGCAGCCTGGGCTATCCCAAACAGCAAGTACTGCGAGAGCTCAGGGCTGGATTTGGGTGGGATTGCTCCTGGCTGTGCTCAGCAGGGACGGGGACATGGCAGATTGACGTGGTGCAGAGATCTGTGTGTTTGCAGCTGGCCCCGCAGCCTCTGCGGGAACTGGCTGTGTGTGCTTCACATGCACGGGATGCCACGTGCTGAATGAGATGTGTTTGCAGAAAAGGGAAAGATAGATCACAAACACATGGCAGGAGCTGAGCTGCAGGGACTTGTTCTCTGCTACTCACCCGGGCTGGCTGAGCTGCTGGGCCTTCAAGTATAGCTGTGCAACTATCAATTTCAGAGGAAAACTTGTGTTGACAGCTTCCTTTTCAGATGTTAGCTAATGTAAAACCTCAGTGCAGACAATTTAGGCTTCAGGAAAATAGCTAGGTTATTGCAGAAATTTTCTTGCAGCTATTACCAGACCCACAGTGAACCAGAAGCAGCAACACAAGGACTGAAGCCATGTATCGATAGCTCTCAGGATTATAAAGAAATGCTGCATTGTCTCTAGCACAGTCCTTCCAGAGGAAATGGTTTATATTCATGTACAATAGAGGGACTATTCAGGGTTGCTGTGAAGGAACATGAGAAGTTAAACATACGGTAGTCATCTTTTGTCTGTTCACGCAAAAATGTCTTAAACAGTTTGCAGATGACGTTCTGAGTAGTAGTTGCTGCACAACCTATTTTCTTTCCCCTTTCATCAGGCTGAAATGCTATAGACTGAACTCCCACAGATATACGAGCACAGACCTATTTAATGACAGCAATCTTCCAAAAAGTTGCACCTTCTAGGCCAAAAGGTCTGAAAGCATTTCACAGCTGGAAGTCCTGATCCACACAAAACTTCAGCGATAGCTTATCCCAGGGGCTTTCAGGACTGGCTGCTGAAGTGGATGTGTTTCAGCATTAGCTGTGGCTTTTTGGGAGGAGAGCACACCTCTGCAGGCAGCTCCAACTGGAGTCCCTCCATGGCAGTCCCTGCCATTTCAGCCTGGGCAGCCCATATGTTGCCACTAAAGGGATGAGGTGGACACAAAATTGGTGGTGGTGCTGGCATTTCCCCTATTGCTGTGAGAAATTAGAGAGAAATCACTAGATTGACACAGGTGTCTTCTAGAGAGCAGTCACTGCCTTTGTGGGGTGAGGAGGATGCACGCTCCAGGCTTCCTCTGCAGCAATAATGGTTAGAAACCTAATATTGTAATGAGAGATTGAAGACTGGCAGAAGCACATGGGACCACCAGAGAAATGCTGACATTATATGCTACTGTATGCTGGCTTATTGCGACCCCTGAACCTGTCTCTGCAAGCAGACTTCTAGGACAAGCTGTGAGGAATGCTACAGCCAATGGAAATAACAAGAGGAAGTTGGGCAGACTGAGTGTTCTTAGCCAAAGTGGAATTTGTCTTGGACTAGTAGGACCCTCATCTCATTCAGGACCTCTTGGGTTTCTGATCAGCTGGTGAGCGAGATTGGCTCAGTCACTGTGAGTAAAGGTTCACCTCTGAAAAGCCAAGTGAGTTCTACATGTCACCGTAGGAAGTATTCCCCCACCCCTCCCTATTTCTTGTGTTTGAAATGGAAATGGTTTTATGAGCAACAACCTGATCTTCCTGGCTGATTGTCATACACGTTATTCTGGATAGTGATCCCAAAGCAATGACCACCTCACATCTCTCTCCTGTTTTTATTTCCCAGCTTGCAAAAGAGACAGCACACTGTTTGACAGGGCTTATTTCCCAATGCAGATGTTGGCTTGAGTGTGGAGATGGGCAGAGATACTCGCTAGAAATGCACTGAACCCTGCTTGCAGCCTAGGCCAACAAGGACAAAAGCCAGGGAAATCAGTGAGCACCACCAGAGCAGCAGAAGGGAACTTCATGTTCTTCTCTTTCCCAATGAACACTTCCACCCTTATTCCTGAAGTCAGTGAAGGCTTTGGTGAAGACAGGGGCAACCCGCAGTCATGTAAGATATTTGATGAGATTGGGACTAAAAGGGGTGAAGGAAGGAAGGAAGTGATGAAATCGTGCCATAGTCCTTTTGCTGTCTGGACCACATCCGAAGCAAATGATCCTCTCACGGACATTTTCTCTCCCATTTCTGATCATGCAACATTTCTGTGGCAACTGCAGCAATTCCATACATGAAAAAATAATATTTAGCAGATGGAAACTAAGGAAGAAAGTCAAAGCTCTGTAATTAGCTTGTTCTCCGTGGACTTGCAGATACCTTCAGAGCTCGTGCGGAGAGCTGTGGGTAGAGTCGTGCCAAAAGGAGAGAAAACTTCACAAGCAGGAGATTAGGAAACCAAAGCAATCAGAGCTGATGGTCAAGGAGCTGTGGAGAATTATTTTAACTATTCTGTTTCCTAAGCACTTCCATGTGATTCCATGTCCTTATCAAGCCCTCCTTTCAGAGTTTGAGGCTGGCTTTTGCTGTTTCAGTGTATTTTGTCCCAGGGCCTCACAGAAAGGCCACAACTCCTGGTAAATACTTCATTATTTCTGTTTCATCCCCGAATTCTTTCTGTCTGACAGTACTTTGATCAGAAGGCCCCCAACATTCATAAGGTGGTAGAGAGTAGACTTGCATGAAAAATGGGACCTGGAATAGAATATTGCAAGCATGACATGGCCCATACAGAGTAGGGACCACAGGAGCTTTGTAGGTCCAAACTTAAAGGGTAGCATAATGCTCGTGGACCCCCCTATGTGTGGGAAACTCTACCTTTGAAGATGTCTTTGAGGTTCTGGTTGAACAGGCAAAGTGTTCAATGTTCTCACTGATGGGATTTGCTAGTTGCAGCAGGATTTAGAAGGTCTAAGTCGCCTTGGGACAAATGCAAAAATCCGTAATAACAGTATCTGCATCTGAGTTAGTCATGACTGAGGAAGGAGCGTGGGTTTTGTAATTACAGCAGCATGATTTCCTGGTGATGGTTCCCTGCTCTGCAGGCTGCAGGTCACCTGGAGACTGCACAAGCCATAGCAGGCAGTTTCCCAGTGAAGGACATGCAAACTGTGCTGCTGCCTCTCCCCTGGCTCAGGACAGGGGCTGCTGGTTGCTCTTTTAACTCTGATGTGGCAGCTTCAGGCAGCTTTTCATGACTTTGTAACCAACCTACACAGTATCATCCACCCACAAGTGCTCTTTCCTGGCTCCCTGTCACAGACAACCTTTCCTTATAAACATCTGGCATTTATTTGCTGTCCTACCGGGAGCTCCCCCTTTGCTGTAAGTGCACAGTCACATTCCAGACACGGTGCTGTCATGTACCACTCCAGGTTCTTGCGGGGGACCTGACACAGCTCAGCCCCGACCTTGGGCTCTTCCTGCTCGGGCACCAGCCACAGCAGAGGCAGAAGAGGCAAATTCAGCTTTTACCTCAAAAACCACAAGGGAAATCGGCCTGGGCTCAGCTCTGGAGGGAAGCAGCATTTAAAGGACTAAAAGCAGAGGAAAGCTCAGTATTATGTTTTCTAGCAGCCACAAAGTAATCCCAGGGCCAGATGCCGACACCAGGAGCTCCACTCACTGCTGGCACACAGAGATAGGCAAATACTAGCAAAACTCAGAACCTACCTAAAACCCTAGAAGAAAGCAGTTTCCCGTAATATATCCTCAACAAAACTTAAAATCAAGCAGCTGTTCAGGGTTTCATCCATCTGAAAGGGGTGCTTTTGCAAAGTGTACGTGGCTCTTCAGTTTGTCACAACACATGCTGCATTGGAAAGGAATGCCCCCCACACCAAACAGCCCCCCCAGCTCTGCAGAGGGACGTGGCTGAGCTTCCACCAGGGAATGGTTTGATCTCAAGCAATAATGTTTGAGTTTGGGATACACAGCCTTTGTGTACACCCAGAAGAACAAACAGAGCTAAGTGCCTTCCCGTTCCAGAGATTTCAGATGATGTTCACACGTGTAGGACTGAACGTGTGGGGAGGCATAAAGAGGTGGCACCAATGGGGCTGGTGTCTCCAGCTGCAGAAACCAGAAAACCAGGTTTATGTCTACAGACGCAGTCAGCCAGGGGCAGGAACATTCTGTTTTACATAAGGAAACCCCAAACATCACTGGAAACAGAACTGAGGGATTATTATCACGTCATTTTTGCAAAATACAGAGCAAAAGCTGCATGTCTGCTGAAGCCATAATCATCAAGATCCTTTAGCAATGAGCTGCTGTCTTCCAGATCTGCACAGCCTTCAGTTTTGGTGACCAGGAATACAGAGGGGGTAATTTGGGGTTTTTTTTTTGTAATTGCATAGTACAATTTAGCTGTAAGAGGCAGCCAACTGCCTTGTAGGTAAGTGGGTGAAGAAAACTGTCACTGCTCCTATGTTCATGTGTTTACGAGGCTCTGTCCAGTGTCACCTGACCCAAAGTCATTCCCAAAACCACTGTTAGGATCACTCACATGCTGACAATGCACTGGGAAGTATCTCAGAGGGGTAGAGGACACTGAAACAGCTGCTCATATGTCTTCTTCCAGACGTGCTTTTTCCTGTGTCAGCTTGTGTTCTCACATTTTTCTCTTGCTTCTGGACAGGACAGTATTTTTAAGTCTAAGAGAATTGTGTTTTAAAGTGATAACTCTACAAATAAATAGCTAATACCCAGATGACTTTGGTCAAGAAAGAGAAAAATGAGACAGTTGGCCACTGCAGGAAGCCAGTTCCCAGGACCTGGATTTTATGAAGTGTTGGAAATAGGGATAGTACTTTGTTTGACTGGAGACTCCTGTCCTCCTTTTGCTGCCTGAATTGCTGCATGTAATTTCTGTTGTGAGATGTGTGGATTTGTCATATGTGGAAACGAACTGGTGGCTCACGCATTCTAAAGACAGGTTCGGGCACATGCAAACACATTTTACTCTTTAACTTTCTCTCTCTCCCTATCAAAATCCCTGGACACTTGCACCACAGTGTGAAGCTGCTGCTGTGGCTTAGTTCAGTTGTGCTGTTTTATAACCTTGCTTTTGGCCAGTTACCAATTCCCTCTGATTTTTGCCTTAATTGCCAGGGGGACAAAGGTGCGATGGGAATCCCTGGGCGGCCGGTAAGTCAAACCCTCTTTTGCGTGCCTTATTGTTCCCATTCTCTTCCAACCCCCAGGATTTGGGGGTGGGGGAGGGTGGCTTTCAGGATAATCCTTGTCAATTTGAGCAAAACTATTCTCCCTGAACCTCACACCTGAGGGGCTCCTCTGGTCTCAGCAGGGTGACCAGCCCTGCAAGCCACGTACATGCTGGGGAGGTGTTTCCATTTCACCTGCTGTACTATCCAGGCCCTCCTCTGGTTTAGCATCCCCCCCAGTTGGGTGTTTCCTGCTGCCACCTTGTGCGCCAGCTGGGCTTGCTAACCCTGGGTTTCCTAACCTGCACCCCTGCTTGCCACTGGCAGCTGCCCCTTCCAAATAACTCTGCCCTGTGCAAAGGGGGCCATCCCCTGCCTGGCTGAGTGCTGTATTTTGGAGCTGCTCCTTGCTTGGGCATCCCATGGTGAGGATGGGGAAGAGGACCGGGGCAGGAGCTGAGGCCACCCTGCTCATCCCAGCCCCATGGCCAGGGTTGTGGGGCAGCAGAGCGTGCCTTTGCCGCTGACGCCTGTGTTTGTCTCTCTCTCCTTTCTCTCTCTCTTCCCTGCGCCCTCTTGCATGTGGCTGTGACGGCTGCCACTGACCCAGGGACTAAAAGGGCAGTCTGGAGAGAAGGTGAGTCAGCTCCTTGTAGCCTGTAGCACCCCCAAACTGTCCTCTTGTAGGGCCAGCCCAAGCTCCCCTGTCACAGTCATGGCCACTGCAGCCAGCTTTGGGCCTCCACAGCCCTGGGCTGCCCATCTTCTGTGTCAGTGCAAGTATATTTCCCAAATTCCTTCCAGGCCAGTCAGCCTCCAAAGATGCTGTGTTTCTTGTTTATGACAATTTACTAACAGCATAAGAGCCAGTGGGCACATGCAGGGCTTCCTTCAAGGCTTCCTGGATTTTAACCATTGACTTTCTACACCCTTTGGCAGCTCTGCTTGCCCCAACCAACCTGCACCTCCCTTCTACCTCCCAGGTTAGCCTGATCCCTGGTGCAGGTGGGAGCAAGGAATAAAAGTGGCATGGCATGCTCCTATTTCTGACACGGGGGGACCTCTTCCTGCTGAGGAAAGCTGATGGTCTGGGGGACGCCATCTCACAGACTGTTTGCTGTGCACTGAGTTAAGATTTGTACCCACAAAGAAGTGCTGCTTTACAAAGTGATCCTACTGCTGGCCCCTGTTTTGAAGTGTTTGGTATTTCAGTGTTAGTATCATTTCCCCAGAGCTGTGAGTACCTCCCACCTGTGAGAGCAGGGAAATGGAGGTGTTTAGGATTTGTGGATAATTTAATAACAATATGTAGAAATTAAGAAAGGTATGCATATTTGCGTGACAAGGAAGGTCATCTCTGCAGTACCATACCATACCCACGTGTGCCTCTTCATAATAGAGAGAAAAACACCACATAGAAGGGGAAAGTAGGATAGAGATTCTTCGTGCTTATGTTCACTGTTTGCTCATTGGAGCCAACCAGCATCCAACAGACCAGAATTTCCCACCCAAAGCCATTTTGCTTTTTTCTCTGCATATCCCTGCATTTGTTTATGGCCAAAAGAGACAACAGATAGATAAAAACAAACAATGGAAAAAAAAAATCACCCCTAATTGCTCCTGCTGCCCCAGAGGCCTCCCTGAGAACCCTAAGTCTTTGGCAGTCCATAGCTTTGTTTTGCAGAGTGCTTTGCTTTCTTGCAGGCTGCTTGGTTTATGGGATGCTCTGTCCCAAAGCTCCTCAGCCATGGGCACTTCTGGAGCTGCCTCTTGGGAATACACCACGTTTCCAAAGAGAGTGACATGTCCTGCCCATCACACACTGTGGGTGGCTAGGAGTTGGAGAGGCAGCTGTTTCCTTTTCCAGCAAGCACTTTGCTTTGTTTTCATCCACGTCTCAACTGAGTTTGAGAAGTACGCAAGCGAGGCATTTCTGGAGGCAGCCAAATAAGCTGCCTGCAGCTCCCATTTCCCTGGAGCACATCCCTCTTTTTCTTTCTTCTGCAGGACATAACCCTCCTGGAACTCGCAGGAAGGAAACAGAAAGGGTTTCAAGCCATCTTTCACACTTGCAATGGGGCAGAACCTCTGTTTTGCCAGAAGGTGTTTTATGTGTTTATACTTCTCCTTGCTGTGCAGCTTCCATTTTCTGGCACATCTAAGCAGCTCTCAAGGACATCTTTTCTCCCAAAGTGTCAGGCAGGAGCTGGGGGAGGCAGAACAGCAACTGGCCCATAAGCCCTGAAGATCTCACACCTAAGGCACCCTCATTTACTCGCAGTCTTGACAGGAATATAGTTGTCTTTGTGTTTTCCTCTCCTGTTCTCACCCCTTTTCCTCTGCTTTGTCTCTCTGCAGGGTGCTCCAGGAGAAGCTGGCATGTCTGTCATCGGGCCCCGCGGTCCACCCGTAAGTAGCTTTTCTCTCTATTTTTGTCTGATGCAGGATGTGGGCAAGTTACTGGGAGAGGCTTAGGAGGGGCATTAAGACTCAGCATCAGCTGGAAAGAGCAAAGATCCTGTATAATGTGGTTCCCATGCTGAGCTAGCCTTGGTTTTATACTGCTATTATATACTATATATAATGAAATTATAGCTCATATTCCAGAACAAATGAGGAAGCCTTCCCTTGGCAAGGAAACCAAAGTCCTGTGTTTAAAAGGAAGAAGCATATTTCCTTTGTGCAACAGGGCTGCTATCACTTTTGGAGAAAAGTTGCCCTTTGCCTAACTAATTTCAGCCTTTGGTTTAATCAGCAGGGAACACGCCCCCTGATTTTACTGACAGGCAGGATCAGAGCTAAGCCACTAACTGGGGAGCTCACAAAGGGTAGTTCAGAGGTCTTTGTCATGTACCCAAAATCTTGGAAGCTCATTACCAGCATGGTTACCACTTACCTGGCTGAGAAAAGGCAGGATTTTGCACCCTCGTCCAGTAAAAGTGTCTCTACAAGGTGCAACGAGTCTCCTGGACAAAACTTCTTGCAATGACCAGGTCATAAAAAAAGACCAAGACGAGGGGTTGGAGTGTTTATGTGCCCTAAATGCTGGATGCTTCTTGCACTGTGGTTCAGCCATCAAGTCTCTGCTTTTGTGCGAGTGCAGCCAGACCTCTCCACTCCATCCCTGCACAGCCTCCATCAGAAATTTCCATGAAAAAGGACCTGGAGATTCAATTCTCTCCCTCCCAGTGGGCACTTCCGATTTTGATTAACCTGTGAAGAGCACCGTCCTTGACCTGCGGAGAGGATGGGCTGCTGGCAACCTTTGTTTCACAGCCGAGGTCAAGTGAGAGAGACCCAGGCAGTGCGAACACTTGGCTACATCTGGCTTTCCAATTAACTTCCCAAAAGCCCCATGACAAGTGTTTCTAATAAAAAACAGCTTTGCTGGTCCCCAGGCCCACCTGCCGGGGATGCTGGAGTTTGAGAAGCGACAGAACCAAAGCCCAAATGGGTCTCCCCAAGTGCTTTATGCCTAGCAGATGCTCCCTGGCCACGTGTCCAGGCAAGGAAGAGAGGCTGGCAAGTCTCTCAAGCCAAGGTCTGAGAAAGACCACCCTGCTCCACAAACAGCAGATTTTGGAGGGTAAGTACCCCGTTGCTTTTGCTGTTTCTCACAAGGTTTGGCTCTCAGCCTTCTGAACAGTATAATTACATTAATCAGAGAGAAAAGCCATCAGGTCCTGTCCTTGTAGGTCCTGCAAAGGAGACAGTTTTTTGAAGGACACGTGTCTGGGCTGCAGGACAGTTTTGTCTGCTTTAGTGCTGCTGCCTTTGCTGCTGTTTGGGAAAGTGCAGAACACATTGCATCTTTAAAGCAGCAGAAAAATTAGATGGCAAATGGTATCTAAAACGGGGTTTTGCCTACACTAATGAAAGCCCTGAGGTGCCAGGACTGGCCCAACTCCACACCTTCCCCCTGCAAAGCCTACTGTGAAGATGATCCAGTTTCCTGGGGAGCTGGTGATAGGTCAAAAGGATGGCTGAGCACTGAAGACAAACACGGAAACCCTGGCCAAGGGGCCACTCGGGAAGATGTGGGATGACAAATAGTTTCCAGATTTTTGTTTGGAGGTTAAAGTGTTTGCCTGAGCTCAGAGCTGCTTAACTCCTGGCCAGAGAGGGACAGTGCACCGATAGTGGCAGAAACAGACGGTCTCCATGATTTGGCAGCTCCCAGGATTACATACTTCATACAATCAACATTTTAAAAAGGAGACAAGGAAAACCAGCCACCCAACAAAAACAGTCTCTTGGAATTGCTCGCTGCTGAACTGTTGTCTTGGCGTGATACCGTGCAAATCATTCTGCTGTCCTCCAAGGAGAAAGAAGCAGCAGTCTGTAGTCTACAGAGGAAGCCAAATTGCACCATTTCCAGGTTTTCTCTCTAATTCTTTTTTTAGCACTTTTTGTCAGGGAGGTGTTCAACGGGGAACCAGAATTCTGGCTAGGCTCTTCTTGCTTCTTGCCTTTTCAGAAGCCAGCGGTGGACAGATCCTTTAATTTATAGCCTATCTTCCCTCCTGGTCACTGGCCAACAGGGCCAGGTGGTTTTGTGTGTATCTTGCAAAGCAAAGCTGACCAAGTTCAGCTTTGCAGAACTAAAGAAATAGTGCAGATGTGGTTAGGTTCTGCTAACACTGTGTAGAAAACCAGAACTCTTCAGTGCGATGTGAGGGATTCTGTGGTGAGGGCATCCCTCAAACCCTGCAAGAGGCTGTTTGGGCCCATCCTCCTTCGGGATAAACCCTCTCTGAGTCTCTGCAGACAGAGGGTGGCTGGAGATGTTACCTGGAGGTGAAGGTTTTCCCTATCAGTGCAACTCTCAGGTTTCCCCAAATCTCAACCTCACAGCCCAGGAGCCCCATCTCCTCCTTGCCTTTTCCTTCCCTCAGCACCACATGGGATCACGCTAATTAAGGCAGAGATGCACCCTGTTTATGCCCAGCTTTATCCTAGGAAACCCCTGTGGGGCTCCAGCAGTCCAGCCATGGTAGTTCAAATTGCTGAAGAAAGCATTTTTTCCCCCAAAATGAGAGAATATAAGGAAGCTGGGCATTTTGGCAACAGAGCATGGCTTTCAGGGTAGGCAAGATGCCACAGTGGTCAGCTGATGAGCGTGGCACAGGATTTACCTCATCCGGCTGTTTCTATCTACATGAGAGTGCTTCAAGATCTGCTGAAGTCTGGGCCAGATGGACCATATGCTTCCTGACCTTTTTTTGGGAAAACAGATTGAAAAATCCCTAAATGAAGTAGTATCTTTCCTGGATACCAACAAAGCTATGGTAACTGTGACCTTGTCACAGGCCCCAAAAATTGAAGAACTACAAAAAATTAACAGCTAAGACATTTTATCTTTTTTTTTTTTTTTTTTTTTTTTTTTCTTAAGCAGGGGGTGAAGAAGCAGCCAAACATATCCCAAGCCACTGTTTGCTGTACCTGATCCCAAACTGGTAGCCATAGTTTGCTAGCCAGGAAGGAGCAGGGGGGAAAGTCATGGTGCTCATGTTCCTCTCATCACACAGCCTAACTCTCCATTTTGTCTTAGCTCTCAGAGGATACAAATAAAAATAAAACAGAAGAGGAAAAAAAATAATCTCCAGAATTATTTCTGAGGAAAATGAATGAGCTGGGATGTAAGACGAGGGGAGGAGGAGGAGAGGGATGGTTGTATTTAGACACCAGTGACCTGCAAGGCTTGTCTTGCACAGAACAGCACCCTGCATTAAACATCTCAGGTTTATGGCAGCAAGGACTGCCATAAGATGAGCTCAGCCTCTGGAATATACTCCAAAAGCCTAACATATGGGCTAGGGACACCCATTTAATTAATGTAGAAACTTCAAGGAAACTGCTTGCAATCCAAACTGGAGCTGCTCCAGCATTTTCTTGGCCCTGTACGAATTGGAGTGGGGATGAGAGATTTCCCCTCCTTCCCAAGACACTTTCCCCTTGGAGGGGAATTGGGTATCTCTTCGGATAGTTGTAGGATAATTGGTCAGAGGCTGGAGGAAAGGCTCTGTAGAGAGGTCTTAGGATCCATCAAAATTCATTTCAGTTCCTCTAAACTGCTGTCTCTGTTTCATCCTTCCCAGGGACAGCCTGGAACAAGAGGTTTTCCTGGATTCCCGGTAAGTGTAACTCTTAATTTATGAGGTACGGATGTGTGATACTACTAGGAAGCTTCATAAGTGCTTGCTGTATCTCATCATTTCTTCCTGAAACCACCTGATCTGATACCACTGGAAAAAGCAATTTTTTCTTCATTTGTTTTTCTGCTACTTTTGTTTTTCTTTTAAATGATACTTAGGAAGAAAAAAAAAAAAGCCTGTTAAACCAAACCACACAACTCTGAAAGGAAATTAATTAAATAAAAAAGCCCCAAGTGTTAAAATAACATAGTTAAAGCCAGATCTGTTTGGTAAAAGAATACTATACTAAGAGATACCCCTATCCCAAACAAAGAAAACAACCCCTAGGTAGGGGAAATTCCAACTTTAATTCCGCTTTTAGGTGGTATTGCAATAGCAGCAAGTGCCTGGGATCCAAAAAAGGCCTGGCCTGTTGAGGGTCAGCTGGGGACTGTGCTAGGCTGAACACCCTGGTCATGCCAAAGGGAAAGGACATAAGGGGGAATTCTTCTCCAGCACAGTTGCAAGGGAACAGAGATAATGCCCAGGAGAGGGCAAAGCAAATTTCATTTCAGTCCTAGAGTTGCTGGCAGCACTCTCTAAAGCACTGAGGCTGCTGAAGAGCTCCAGCAGTTGCTATTGATTCATATGCATTTATCCTGGACAGCTAGGAAGCCTGAGGCAAACACAAACACCCCCCACATCCCTGCTCCTGCCAGGCAGCTCAGCTGCTGCTCCAGGACACTGGACGTGCCAGAGCAGGTCTGCAGGGGGGACTCTCACGCCTGGAAAATGGGAGGAATTGGCAGTCTCCCCCATCAGCTCTGCCCCTTGTGATGAGGGGGGCTGTGAGCTGCCCCTGGGCTGAGGAGAAGCAGATCTCTCCAGACCCTTGTGGTCTTTGGCTTTTGGAGGAGCAGAAAACAAATCAGCCCAGCTCCTGAGAAAGTGCTGGGTGGGACAGCTCTGTGGAGCCTGTTTCTCATCAAACAGTACCTTCAGCATGTGCTGAGCTGTGTGTCACCTCTTTCCTGAGACACTTTTATTATTCTATCATTTGCAAAAATTCCTCTTCCCCCAAAGGTGGGTGCCTTTTTAAATCAAAGTCTTGAGAAAACTACTGATACTCAGCTAGTTTACTGAACACTGTAAAATTTTTAATTCTGAGATTTTATTTTTTTTTTTTTTTTTGCAAATTGCCTATGAATCTCTCCTTGCTTCTACTCCTGTGTCCAGCATTGCTGCTGGAAGGTCCTGACAGTGAGCAAGTCCCTGCTGCAGCAGTTTGAAATCTGGGCTGGTACTGAGTGAGCCAGGGACCTGCCAGGACTGGACAGGAGGGCAAGGAGTCACCTCATGTCACCCCAGCCTGTGCAGTCTTGTGGCACATAGTGCTTCCTGGGGCAGATGGGCAGACACCCTGGGAAAGCATTTCTTATAATTTTTCCTCTTTTCTTTCAGGGCCCTATTGGCTTGGACGGCAAACCGGTGAGCAAAGAGCTCTGCAGGCTTCTGTCCTGCCTCCTGCTCCATCCCACTGTGCTGCAGCCTGTGTGTGACACCGTGTGTTTAAAGGGGATTATTTTGCAATGTCATGCACATGCATGGATTAAAAGAAAATTAGGAGGTTGGCAAGCAGGAGGAGATGCAGGAGTCAGGAGCTTAAGGAAGGCAGAGTATGGCCTATTCCTTTCTAGGTAAATCTGTAAAATAGCAGTTCACAAGTGCAGCAGCCTGGCTGCTGCAGAGAAAGCCTTAGCAGGCAGGCCCACCCAGAATCAGACAGGCAGAGCAGATTCCCGAGGTATCAGCCCTCTGCCTTAGCCAACAGCTTCCTTCTCTTTGCTGCCATGCTGAAAAGAGCTGCAGTAGAGGAGGGAAGGATCCTAAAGACCTCTGTGAGGCTTCCATGCTGTCCTTAGAGATTTGCAGTAGAAACCCAAGTTCTTCCCATCCTTCAGAGCTGGATCTTCATGAAGCCAGTGGACATGAAACCCATAGCTCCATGTAACAGCCATGCATCCAGCTTCCCTACACACTCCTCCAGTGCTGTAATGGAGAAGGAGCTGGTAGCACATACCTCTTCTAATTTCTTCTAATTTCTTCACATATCTCTTCTAATTTCCTGCAGCAGGACCCTGTTTTTGCCATAAGGAACTTCACCCCCAAGAAAGATGCGACTGCACCTTTCTTGTACTGCTCTGGGGACACACACTTCACTCAGCAGAAGTTGTTAAATCAACGTCATCTAGAGTCTGCAGTGGCCAAAGCTGATGTGTGTTTCCTTTCTTTTGCAGGGGCATCCTGGACAGAAGGGAGAGATGGTAAAAATACATATGTTTGTCTGCGGGTGATGGGTTGGTTTGCAATGATGTTGTGCCTCAGCTGGAAACAAGCTCATGGGCAGGGTAGCAATCCTACCTCAGCTGATGAACTAGCTGCATCCCTAATTCTGTAACTTCATAATAGCAGTGCTGGGATGCATGTCTGTAATTTTTGCATTATGGCTTGCACATTCATCATGCCACAACAGCAGCCCTCTAGTTACGCATGGGATGTGTTTTCCTTGCACTTAGCAATTATGTTCTTTAAATATATTCTGGGAGCTGACATTTTTTGTGGTTGGCCTCATAGGACAAGTAAAAGTTGATGGAAAGATTTCTGAAAACTCATCTGGCAGCTTTCAACTTATCTAACAACAACCAAAAAAAGCATATTTTTTGTACTAAATTTGGTTCCTCCCCCCGCTCCCCCCCCACTTGAAGCTCTGTTTCATATGTGCATCATACTAAAACGCTTTTGGTTGAAAATGATAAACTTAGACTGCACTTTATGGAAGCCCAAATGGTGTCTTGCTCCTCTTGACATCTCTGATGATGAAATCCCAGATATGAGTATGTCAGGAGAGAGGCTCTGTAGTCACCTTCACTCACTGAAGTGTTGAATGTTTTCTTCTGCTAATTCTGCAATTCTGTTTTTTGAGCCGGGCTGTATAGCCCTCTGTCAAGCACATGTTGAAGATCCCCTCCCCACTGCCCTGTTGCACAATCTCAGCCCAGGCTTCAGTCCTGGCTGCTTCTGGTTCCATCCCAGAGCTTCGGCTGAGGAGACACGCTGTCAGCTGAGGTCCTGGGAACAATAAGGGTGTGTTTTCCTGATGATTTTTTCCCCCTCTCCTTTTAATATTTCCCCCCCGTGGTGCAGCCAGAGCATGTGTGTGTTTTTCACTCCTCCAGAGTAACAAAGGGAACCCGGATCTCTCTTGGGAATTTTGTTCACAATTTTTTTTAAAAGCTCAGTTTTTCATCTACTCCATACGTTGTCTTTTTCTCTCTGTAAATGGAAAATCATCCCATGTTAAATTCTGTGTTTCTTTAAAGGGTGCTGCAGGTCCCAGGGGACAACCTGTAAGTATTTAATCCCTATCCCATCTCTCACCCTAATCCCTTTCCCCTTGCATTCACTGAATTCCTTCATTTACTGAGGCCTTTTTGGTCACTTTTGTCTTATAGGGACCCCCAGGACAAAAAGGAGAGAAGGTAATTTCAGTGGGGGCCTTGTTAAAAGTTAAAATAGAGGAAGGGAGTTGGTGGCCTTGGTGCTGCTTGATCTGACTGTGAGTGAGGAGTACCAAGAGCAGAGGGCTCAGGGGATGAGGACAGGAGGCAGGGTGCTTATCAGGTGCAAATTGGCATAGCTGCACTGAGTTTGATACAGTCACAATGGTTTGTGCCTTCTGGATCTGACCCTGCGTGCCTATTTTGGTTTAAACCCTTTCCTTTTTAATCCCCTTCTTTCACAGGGTCAGTGTGCAGAGTACCCGCACAGGGTAAGTCATTAGCGTTATTATCCTCTGTCCCGTGCCTTCCTGCATGTTAATCCTCCTTGTCTGAATGGCTTTTTGTTGGAAGTAGAGATGTTCCATTAACAAGATGCGTCATCTGGGCCCCCGGGGCAGTGCTCGGCTGATTGATGTGTTTCGCAGAAAAGCAGCAGATAAGGTTTTCCAGGAGGGATGTTGGTTCTCCGGTCTGGCTGTTCCTGCCCACCAGAGTTGACCCCTAGATAGCTGCTGTCAGTTCTGCTTCCTGGAGACCCTCCTGTGCTTTGTGCTGGAGAGGGGAAGGTCCACTTCCTCAGCCCACAACCCAGTGAAACCTGGGGGTTCTGGAGGAGTAGAGGTCACCCACTCATGCATTGAGCTGCTGCACTGGCTCCGTGGTGCTTCCACAGCCTCTGCTCTGGCTGTGTGGTCTGGAGCAGTGTGGGGTTTGAAGACTTGGGGAAAACTCTATCATCATTCCGCCCTTTTTCTTCTCCCTCATGCTGGTGTCATCCCTGCATAGAGACAAGGGGAAGGGTTATGCTGCCTGCCTGAGGGTAGCCGTGCACTGCCTGGCTGTAGTGCTCTGTCAGGTCCCCAGTGAGTTGGTCCCCATGCTGGTCCCCAAGCCTGGTGGACTTTCTCCCTGCAAGGAAGAGGCTGAGCAGGATGGTTGATGCCAGCAACTGTTTGATGGAAGCCAGGATGTTGCCCCACCTGCCCCTTTTTCTTGGCCTGGTCAGCATATGCTGCAGCCAAGAGTGGAGAGAGAACATCATGGGGTTTGAGGGGATTTAACCAGTTCTAAAAACAACCAGAGTGCTGAAAATCCACTGGAAATGCATTGGAACGACATCATATGAAGTGGCTGGAATTTGTAATCTGGGTGTACAGGGAGACAAGCTTAAGAGCTTTCTGTTTATTTTTGATGGTCCTCTGGATAATCAGCTGGGCTCTGGTCCCTGGCCCGGAGGGAGCAGGGTTGGAGCAGCAGAGCCACTGGAGAGTGAGCTGGTCTGGCAGCAAGGGAGAAGGGGGCCGTGGGGAAGTGCCAGTCCCCCGTGCAATAACAGCCGGTCAGCTGTGTTTATTTAGTGAGCCGGCTCACTACATTGTTATGTTAAAAAGAAGCCAACAACACTGGTCACCCGAGCAGTGTCCTGAATTCCTGTTACCCTCGCCTCTGACTGTCCCCAGTGCTCAAGGTGAAAAGCAGTGGCAGGACCCAAAGCAACACTGGGATGGGAGCTGGTGCATCCCTGGAAATAGCCTGGGCCAGGCCTGGGGGCAGAGCACACTGGTTTGGTGGGTCAGGGCTGTAGGGTGGCTGGTGAGCTGCAGGGCTGTGACAGCGGGAAAAGGGTAGGTGCAAAGCCTCACATCCTGGCAGTGTTTCCTTGCCTCTCATGGAGATACTTTTGGTCTCATGAGGCACCATTATAAAAAGCCTATGAGTTGTTAAAGGCGGAGACATGCTCATGGGAAGGGTGACTGTCCTCAGATCAACTCAAGGAACAGGCTGTCCTGAACTGCAAGTTCAGGGAGCCAGAGGCACAGACCAGCCAGCAGAGGTGCAGTTCTTTGTTCCTCCCTGAATGAAAATTAGGATGGGCCATGTTGCAAAAATGCGACATTGCTGACCGAATTGCAAGTTATTCTTGCTTTTCTGTTTGATAAGGTTCTTTGTCAGATGCTCTGGGTGAGGAAATGAAAACCAGCATCCTGACAAATGGGGGATGATGTTTCAGTTTTGTTTTGTATTTGTTTTCTTAGGAAGGAAATACAAGG